TAGAAACAATTTCCTCTTCAATAAGAAGTTCTTGGAGGAATGGCAGGTCTTTCCCCGGGCTGATGAATTTATCCTTTGTTTTCTTGAAGTGCAAGGAAAAAACCAATCTCCTACTAGAACAAGGCAAGATAGTGCTCGAAAATGGAAGAAGCCCCCTATTGGAGTTTTCAAACTTAACACAGATGCAGGGGTCAGTTACCGTGGGGAGGTGAGATTGGGATGTATCCTTAGAGATTGGGAGGGTAAAGAAGTTTTCGCTACCAGCAGAAGGCTCAATGTTAAATGGACTCTGGATATTGCAGAAGGGATGGCTATTTTTTATGGGGACAGACTAGTGAAGGAGAAAGGAATTGGCCCGATTGTTGTGGAGCAGACTGTAAAAAGGTAATCGAGCTGCTGAAACGGAGAAAAATATGGAGAACTGAACTGGGGGTCTTTTGTTCGGATATATTGAGGGAGGTGGAGGAGTTGGATTTTCGGGAATGGAAGTTTGCTTTTAGAGAGGCAAATAATATTGCACATGTGTTAGCTCATCTAGTTTATGGTTATGCGGAAACTCGCTTTGATTGTAATGGCTTACCACATATGGTAGCTGATGTTGTAGCCTTTGAGGCAGTTGATTCTTGATTTCAATGAATCCACATCAATGGTTTCTAAAAAAAATAGTTTTATGATCGCCACCGGTTCAACCAGATTCACCTGGTTGGCATACCACGAGCGTGAGAAGTGACAACCATCCTCCAATAATATATAGTAGAGTTTTGTTTATTTTTCTCTATTTCAAATTTTCTGCAACGAGAGTGAAAATAGGAAGGGCATTTTTGTCTTTACAATTAATTATTTATTCCATATAAAAATGTTAATATCAAGATTTGAACTCGGGTCTTTCCAAATAAAGACAACAATTGCAACCAATTACACTGAAGAATTTGTTGTATCTTTTTTAATAAAAAACATAGACAAGTGACACTCTGAAAATCGGAGGACATTTCCATCATGATTAAAAAGCCACTAAGTCTACCGTATTTATTTTTATGGTGCTTGATACTGCAATTTTCTTTTTTTGGTAGTATACTGCAATTTTCACAGCAGAGTTTCATGTAGTTTCTCAATTCTAAAATTACTGCTCCCTCCTTAATTTTCACTAAAGGTAAATTGGTAATTGGCAAACACGGAAGAAACTAATTCTATTACTACGTGTTGTGTCCTTGAATTTTTCATTTATATTTAAATTTAGTACTTTTTTATCTTTGTTCTTATCTTTTTCTAACTTCCTCCGAAATTCCCTTCATCGTGCAATAGTTTGCGCTCCTTTCACTTCACAGTACAAAGCCGCCTTTGAAAATCAATCTTCTGCTATCTCTTTGCATTACGGTTTAATTGTTGGAGATTAAAACTGGGCAAGTAGAAGATTTCAACTCCTATACCAATCCATGGCGAATAGATTGGAGTTCAATAAATGGAGTTGCAGAAGGAGGATTGGAAATTGAATTTTTGGTTGAACATACGCCTCTTGAGATTGAAGATAGAGAGAATAAAATTTTGATTGTACAACAGAGAGTGGTGGCTATTGGATCTTTAGGTTTATGATATTTGCACCTATCGGAACCTATTTCTATCTTAAAACGAGGAATCATTGATTGATTTATGGAAGTAGGTCGGTTGATTCTTTATTCAACCTACTGGAACAGATAGAGAAGGAGTGTCTAATTTTGTTCTTTATGACTTTGATCGAGTATTAGTATATTGGAGGTAACCCTAATATTGGCGTTTGCTCTCAAGTTTTGATGGTCCCCTCTTAGCTGAGTTGTTAGTATATAGTTGGCTTTAATCAACAACTCTCAATTTCTTTGTGATTATTGACATGTTGTTCCTAAAAAGAGAGCATTGAACATTTATGTAGGGTTGCGAGGTTTAAGTTTGGAGCACTTCTACTATGCTATATAGCATTGGTGCTTTAATGTACAACTTGAAGTTGTACCATAACATTAAATGTATAAGTTTAGGTTGTACCATAAAAGAATTTGTATCATTATATTGTTATGGTACAACTTTACAACTTGAAGTTGTACCATCACATAAGGTACAAGTTTAAGTTATACCATAAAAGAATTTGTAGAGAAAGTATAGGTACAATCTGAAGTTGTACCATAACGTTAAATGTACAATTTCAAGTTGTACCATAAAGACAAAAACCTATAGCACCAATGCTATATAGCATTGTAAAATTGCTCTTAAGTTTTAGTTTCAAACAAACTATGGTTCGTGTGGAATTTTTCTTTTTTGATAAATCACGTGGGAATTTCAGTGAGCTTTTACACTCTATCTTTCTTGACAATCAACTAACCAATAACGTTTTACCGGAGAATTCATTATCATTATGAAAAATGGGATCAATAATACATTTTTATATTTTATATTATTAAATGATGATAATATTTATCCAAATATTCGACCTATATATTTTTTCTATATGTATCATCTCGATTGAAAGATTATCAATAAAATTAAATGGTTTAATAAAATGTAGCATAAAAATATAAACAATCAAATATAATTATTCCGGCCAACGGGCCAGTTATAACCTAGTGAGAAAGAGAGAAAACTCCGAGCCTTTGACCCGTTCCCCTTTTCCTTGGGTCCGGATAGAATAACACCTTTTTTGTTGTTATAATAACAACAAGGGTAATAGAGTACATTCATAATATCTAATGATTCAGTTAAAATATACCTACCCATCCCTACTTATCAATTCCCGTTTCTCCTCCGCTACCGTCTCTAATTCCGCTCCGTCTGTCCTGCAACCCAGCCGATCTTTTCTTTCCCTGTCGCTCCGCGACAATGGCAGCGGCGACTGCTGAATAATACGTCGACCGAATCTCGTTTCTCCTCTGGCTCCTCCGCCCGCTTCTTCCCCTCCGCCACCAGGAAATACCCTCTGCCAATTCGTGGTTCTGCCGCCAAATCGTGGCCCACCTGCTGAACATCTCAATCCCTAGTGAGCTGAACCCGAGGACGACGGAGTTCAGCAGCAGGCCCAACGCTCTGACGCAGACTCCCCGAGCGTACATCCTCAGCTCCGCCACCCTTCTGCCGTTGGAAATCCCTCGGATCCAGTTGAGGGACGATTGTGCTCCTGATGGAAATCCCTCAGATCCAGTGTCGTCTCCGACAAAGACTCGGTAAACGACGAGAACCGAGACTGAATCGGCATAACTGGTTTGAATAGATGAAACAAATTCTATTTTTCTTCTCTTTTGCTCAGATTTGAATAATAAATTTGAAGTTTTAAAATGGTTTTCCACGCGAGACAATTCCATTTTTTTCTTTTATGTCCCTGTTTCAATTTTTCAACTCGTAGAAAAGAATCAATAATGGCGAAACTATCACCAATCACGATGAAGTTGAAGTGTGCGACCTCAACAACTCTCTTTCCAGTCTCTGTTTCCGCCACGCTACGGCGGCGGATTCCAACTCCAACGACACCATAACTACTGCTCAACCGCTCCGAGATGACGGCGAGCCGCTGATTTCTGCCGATGGCACCTGCGCCATGGAATATTTGTTGTTGTTGTTGTTGTTGTGAATAATGGTATTCATTTTTAGGTTTCTTTTTTTAACATTTTAGTATATTTTCAGTATACAATTGTATTGTTTTACATGCACTTTTTTAATTATGCAATGCATTGACTTGGTATGCATTCTACATTTTCTAGTATGTATAGAAGAATTACCGGTATGTATTATTGTTTCTGGTATACGTTCTTATATTTTTTATATATCATAAATCTCCTAATGTATACCATAAATGTTTTAAAACACACCAGAAGCATCACAACGCAAATCACAAATATTTCTAAAGCACACTAGAAACCTCCTAATACAAACTACAAATACAGCAAAGTAAGCCACAAAAATTGTACCCGACACCTCCTAATGCAAACCACAAGTCTCCTAAAACATGTCAGAAACCACGCAAAGCATACCACAAAATATTTCATAAGTACACCAGAAACCACAATAAAGCAAACCAGAAACCTCCTAATGCATACCACAAATCTCTTAAAACAAACCACAAACCTCACAAAGCAAACCACAACATTTGCGAAAGCACACCAGAAACCTCCTAATGCAAACCACAAACACAGTAAATCAAACCACAAAAAAACAAACCGGAAACGTCATAATGCAAACCACAAAAATATTAAAACAAACCAGAAACCTCACAATGCAAACCACAAAATTTTTGAAAGCAAACCAAAATTTTCTTAATGCAAACCACAAACACGATAAACCAAACCACAAAAACAAACCAGAAACCTCCTAATGCATACCAAAAATCTCCTAAAACAACCAGAAACTCCTCAATGCAAAACACAAAACTTTTGAAAGCAAACCAGAAACTTCTCAATGCAAACCACAAACACGATAAAGCAAACCAGAAACTTCTTAATGCAAACCACAAACACGATAAAGCAAACCACAAAAGGCATACAAAAATATGAGAAACTAAACCATAAATCTCACAATGCAGACCATAACATCCGGTGGTCGTTGACCGTTGACTGGTCAACAAAAACCGTTGACTGAACTCCGATGACCGTCAGTGAGCAGATTCCGGCTCCGATAAGCATATTCCGGTCCCGATGACTAGATTCCGACGCCGGTAAGCATATTCCGGCGACAAAAAACATATTCCGGTGACCGGTTACCAGATTCCGGTGACCGAATTCCGACGAACAAAATTTTGGGCAAAAAAAGAATTTATTATTTATTTATTTATTATTATTTAAACATATTTTTCATATTGACAATTATACCCCTATTTTGATTTTACATTAGGTCAACTAAGCTAATAAAAAGTTATCACAACCCTACCTTCCTATTGATTGGAGATTAATGTTGTTACAATAACAACACAAGGGTGTTGTCACACTATCTAGTCCCTTTCCTTTGCTTCTCGTCTCCTCGTAGTAGTAGCACGTGCGTGCTTTGATGATGAGACAAGAAGGCGTTTTAGTCTCCGAACAGTGTGTTGATGGCCGCGATTCGCCGACAATGCAGCCTCTCCTCGGCGACACGATCGGCGAGCTGCGCAACAGCTTTTCCTCCTTCGCAGCACAGCTCGACTCTACTGCCGCCGCCCTCCAAGCTTTGTCGGTGGCGCTGATTCTAGCGGAGGAGAAGCTGGAGGAAGGGCTTCAGGAAGTCGAGCGGAAGGAGAAGGATGTGGAGAAGGAGGTCGAGACGGTGAATCGGAAGTCGGCGGAAATCGACGCGAGGCAGGCGTCTTTCGAGCTCCTGATGAAGGAGATTTCCGATCAGAAAAAACACGCGGAGAAGGCGGCGGTCGGGAGTTGCTACAATGAAGCAGAGTCGGATGAGAAACGGAGGAGACTCGAGGCGAAAGAGAAGGAAATCGAGGAATGCTCCCACCGGTTCCGGCTAAGGGAGAAGAGATTCGAGGAGCAATTGGCGGAGTTCCAGGTTCATTTCAATGAACTGAATTCTAGACAGAGGCATGTCGCTGAGCAAGAGAGACAATGTAGAGAAATTCAATCGAACAATAAGCATTGGTCTGATGAGTTGGGAGTCAGGGAGAAGGAATTGCAAGGAAGAATGATTGAATTCAGTAGGAAAATGGTAAAACCTGATCTTCGTTTGGCTGAATTGAGCAAGAAAGAAAGGGAATTAGATGAGAAGGAGAAGCAACGTAAAGAAATTGAACTGAAAGTTCAACAATCTATGAATGCGCTAAAGTTGACGGAGAAGGATCTTTTGGAAAAAGGGGAGATTCTAGACAAACGGGCTATAGAAGTGGAATTGAAGGAGAGGAATCTTGAAGAGAGGCTTAGGGGATTCGGTCCAGAAGGTGTGATCTCGGCAGAAGGGGTGGTGGAAGATTCTGATTCTAAAGAGAAGCGAGTTAAGACAATGTTTAGAGAATCTGAAGTGAAAGTAGATAAAAACTTTGTCAAGTCACAATTCTCTTCACGTCAGTGGAGTGGAGCTAAACCTTTGTGGTCAGATGCATATGGAGATGGTAATACTGAATCTGCTGATCCTGCTCCTGTGACCTCTGCTAATTTACCTGCAGAGCAGCCAGAAATGTCAAATGTGCCAGCTCAGCAGCCGGAGAGGGTAAACGTACCAGCTCAGCAGCCGGAGGGGGTTAACGTACCAGCTCAGCAGCGAGAGAAGGTAAACGTACCAACTCAGCAGCTAGAGACGGTAACCGTACCTGCTCAGCAGCCAGAGAGGGTAAATGTACTAGCTCTGCAGCTAGAGAAGGTAAATGAGCCAGCTCAGCAGCTAGTGAAGGTAAATGTACCAACTCAGCAGCCAGAGAGGGTAAACGTACCAGCGCAGCAGCTAGAGAAGGTAAATGTACCAGCTCAGAAGCCAGAAAGCTCGAGTATTCCTGGCCAGCAGCTTGAAAGGTTGAATATTCCTGATTCCCAACCAGGAAGATTGAATGTACCTGCTCAGCATCTAGAAACGCTATCTAGTGGTCAAGGTAAGCCATTTGATCTATCTATGGTTTAACTATAGCATTCTTCTTTATGCTACTACTTCGGCAGCGACAATGAGTAATCACATAGCCTGGTGGTAAGGGAGGAGGACTGGTGACCATAAGGTCCCAGGTTCGATCCTCACCGCCATCATGGTGTTCCCAGAGGCATCCCGCTATCACCCGGACCGCCGGCGGAGGTCCCGGGGTTTAGCCCGACTACGGCACCAAGGGTGTTCCTCCTCGTTATAAAAAAAAAATGAGTAATAGCATGGTATACCATGGCTTCAGCTGTGAATGCCATTAGTAGATCAGTTTGCAGCCACGAATAAGGGAAGTTTATTTTGGAATTGATTTAACATTTTGGTTGGTAGATGACAAACCATAAGATTTTCTAAACTGTTTGACTTTCTTTGTTCTGCATGACCTTTTTTTATTGCGATTGCTGTAAAGTCTTTAAAGACAAGTTATTATACTTATGTTTTTTTTTATAAATCCTTACGAAATGTCCTTTCCTATGCATTCTCTTCAGGCTGCAGCAATCCTTTCCCCATAATTTCCAACCTCTTTGGATCTGGAGGTGAAACTGATCCTTCGCTCTCAAAAACGCAGCTTGTGCCCAAATGTATCGCGGGACGCACACCTCTCAAACTACTGTGCAGGAAAATTGAGTCAAATACATTATATTGCCTTGAAATCTCTGATGCTCTTGAACTTGCATCTGATACTGGAGAGTTCGTTTTAGGTGTGGTAAAGGATCCATCCTCCCTCACCTTGCATAGGGGAAATGAAGCAGTCAGCTTAGCTTTTCCACAATATGGTCCGTTATTATTGTTGGACCGTATGTGGCGAATGTCGCCCCATGTCAAGCCAGATGTGGAGATAGAAGCCCTTAGCTTTGCAAGGAAGTGGAGATTGAAACTTCCTGAGCAGATGTACAATAATTTAGAACCTGTTTGTTTCTTGCTGTTTTTAGCTGCCTACAAGTTGGTCTCTCATTTTAACCAAGACGAGCTCTTTAGTGTTTTTGGTAAAGATCATTGGTGCCGATATGCGACCAAGCTATTTGGGATTCTTGGCTTCAAGGATTTAAGACCAAGTAAGCCTCATTCTGCCGTTTCCTTGCTCAAAATCCTGGTTACCCATGCTATTATAAATCTGATCGAACTAACAGTTGGCTTTTATTGTGACAGAGTTTCTCAAATACCTTTTGAGAAATAAACTGCCGATGGAGACCCTTGAATCTGTGAATGTATCGAGTTTGCTTGAGAAGTCCCCTTCAGCAAAGACTCTGCTTAACGAATATTTGCTCCTATGTGCAAAGAAACTGCGTGGAACTGAAGGCATTGGCCAACAGGTATCACTACTCAACTATTATGTTTAAAACTTTCCCTGCAATCGATTGTAGGGTATTCGCTTTGTGAACTGTAAATTCTTTCTATCTAAAATTCTCCCACATATTTGATGGTTCATTTGAACCTGATGCCCAGATTGAAGCTATTGAAAGGGAGCTAACCGTATGGAAATCTGTAGTCGAGTCCATCGCAGACCAAAACTTGTCTGAGAACTTCCAAGCCCACATTTTGTCCCTGGAGAAGCAGAAGCAATGGAAACTTCAAGTGCAGGAAGCCTTAGCTGGACCTCCTTCCACTCTCAAATTATCTGAGATCCAACAACCTGGTCTGTGGCAACAGCAAGATACTCCCGCATCTTCCAAAGCTGAAAAACAGCATGACACTCCTGCATCCTCCAAAGCTGATGCCAGCCCAATCACAATCTCTGCTGCTTCTTCTCCACCTCAACCCCTGGACAAGAGTAGGGCTCGTAAAAAGCGCTGTATAGTGGTAGAATCATTGGATGCATCTCAAAGACCGCCGTCATTGGGGTCCAACAACCAGATGGTCCAGCCGCCTCAACAACCTCTGCAGTTTACAGGAGGAACGGGAGGTTCATTTAGACTTGCTAAGTTTCCTTGCCCAGACTCACCTTTTCGGTTCCCTGCTCCCACATTTCCATGGTCCCATCAGACCCTGTTCGGGTATCCTGGACATACAAGGTAAGTGCTCTATTTACTGCATTCCCTTTCGTTTATTATCCTGTCCTACCCCCAGTTCTCAGGGCTGTAGATATGTAGTTGGTAGAGCTGCAACCAACACGGTACTTTGGTTGAAGGTGTTGCACATAAGCTCTTCATTTTGATTGCCAAAACTGTGGCCCTGTTGCATATGTAATCAAATGGAAGCTTGGGTCATTTTCTCCTTTGCAGGGCAAGCTGGCAGTGTGAATTCACACAAATCTAATAAGATAAACTGAATGAACTAATTTTGCCAAGATTATGATGTAATTTTTTATGCAAGCTTCTTGCAAACTCCCCATGGTGCTGCTCCGCCAAGAGTTCCAGAGGATGCGTCTAGGGCTCCGGAGACAGTAGGTGTCAGTGCTGGGTTACCTTCTGCTGAGGAGGTTAGTGAATCCATAGCACAGACTAAGTTCGAGTCAGCTTCAGCATCGTCTGCTCCGCGTGGCCCCCTACCGTCGGAGGTGGGCTCTGTTACTAGAGGTCCGGTGGAAAATTTGCGCCTCCCATTCTCATTCGGGGCGGAGCATCGGAGCCTAACTAGTAATGTGGTGGGTGATCCCCGTCAAGCACTCTCTCCTGGCGTGGAGTATGAGAACCCCCCGGTCTTCCCTTCCTTTGCTGACGCCACAGCGGCGTCTTCTGGTGCTCTATGCTTGGCTACTCAATTGGGAGGGGCGACTGTATCCAAATGTGTCAGAGATTCCTCGGCATCAAGTTTGGGTGTTGCTGAAAAGGTGAAGGAAACTGGCCTCAACCAGTGCCAGCCCAAAGAATGAAGGTTTTGTTTTGGAACTGTCGGAGAATCGGTATCAGGTTTGCTTTCCGATCTCTTTCATGTATGGTTCCATTTGTGAAATTAAGGGGCTATGGTCTTTTAATGGGGTAGAATTAGATGTTTCTAAACACTCTGGTTGTATATATGTGTTTATTTCCAAATGTTATTTTCTATTCAGAAGAAGAATGTACGTAGCTGGGTGCCACCGACCAATTCAGTATTCGGACAACCATCATTGGACTAATCGATCTGGGCTGCTATGGCTCTCGATTTACTCAACGAATCGTTGATAACAAATCGTAGAACAACATGACCATGAGCTTAGTGTCCCCTTTGCTGTGGTCGTTACTCGTGGTTTCCCGTCTTATTCGAACCCATGGCACGCTTCTGTTGCTATGACATGGCAGCCAACATAGCTTCTTTTCTCTACCATTGTAAGCACGCTTCTAATTCGGATGGCCACGCGGAGTGCATGGGTGCCGAGGGAGGGATTGGGCAAAAAAGATGTGAATATTTATTTTGGGTAAAGACGAGGAGCAGCAAGTGAAATGGTGGAGGCTGCAAATGAATCAACATGGATTACATAGAGCGTCAGTTTGTGTCTAGGGACCATGCTGAGTTGTTCTATAAAGAGTATGAACATCATAAAGGCTTTGGCATGAGGAAGGAAGGCGCACCTAAGAGGAACACGCATAATAACTTTTGTGAGACGTATCACTACATCTATTGCTCGTGCACCAAAGGAGGATACATGAAAAATAGCAAAAGGAACCCGGAGAATATAATGGAGGACTGATTGATAAATTAACTGTTAGGAAACAGAGTAGGGCGGAGAATAGATGGGGGTGACAAGCGAGGATAAACTTCAAAATGGACAAATAAACCAACCTATATTACATTGCATATAAATATATTGAACAAAGATCAAGACAACTTGAAAATGTTAATAACAAAAACATTTACGATTAATAATGCTACTGGTAATATATATGACTGTTGACAGCGCTATAAAATAATGTTACAAACATGTCACTAAATTATTGATAATTAAAATGATTTTGTTATCTGCGGTTCTAAGGTGCTTGGAATACAATTTTTTTATCAGTAGTTTACACACATACTGTTAATAGTTATTAAAAATTTGATTAAAAATTTGTCCAAAACTCATCAAAAAATTAGAAATCATTAGAAAATAAATGGAATGATAGTACTCGTGAATCAAATCCGTCTACCAACAAATTGATGAAAGAGCCGTAAAATATAATTACAAAAGTTATCCAATAATAACTTCAATAATACGACAAACAATTGCCTAACAACGTGAAAACCAAATTATTTACAATACGACAATTGCCTAACTTCATTCCTGTCAACCGTGCGGGTAACTTCCTCCTTATTGCGTAACTCCCACGAGTGCAAAACCACTCTGCTACGCCGCAACTTGGCAAAACGACATTGAGCCACCCTTGTAGTTATCCACCCGGGTTCGATAATCCACCCCGACTCCTCAAGCCAAACTACATTCATCCTTGTTTATAAAACGGCGGCGTATCACAAACAACACCGTAACGCTGAGCTCCCAGCCTTGCAACATCGACGTACTCACATTATCAATGCCACATTCGATGGTGACGCATGGCTTACAACATTGCTCTCTAAACAACGTAGCTCTTAGTATCCCGACATCGTCGAATTCCCACCACTGATGCCCAACTTTATTGAATTCACGGTGTTGTTGAGTTTCTCAACACTGAACTAAAGCTCATCAACGTCCTCCAGCTCGCGACCTTGTTTTGGAAAAAACAGCATCACTTTCACGGCATTGTTAAACTCTTGCAACATTGTCTTTGACTAAACAATGTCGTTTCTTTCCTAGTACCGCGGTGTTGTTTTTACCTTCCGCGGCGTCGTATTCAACTAAACGACACCGTCTAAAATAATTATAAAATACTAATTAATTAAATCAGCCCTCATTGTTAACTCGCCGTCAAACTCTCATCCCTCGGTGCCGTTCTTAGTTAAACAACATCGTTTTCTAGTCCCGCGATGTCGTTGAGCTTTGAGCTTCGCGACACTGTTTTAAATTTAACACTATTGTTTTAACTATTGCGGCATTGTTGGGCCTACTCGCGGTATCGAATTCTAATCCGCAGTGTCGTTTTTCCCCTCTTGCGGCATCGTTTTCAACTAAACGACACCGTCCTAAATAATCATTAAAAATATTAATTAATTAATCCGGCCATCACTAGTCAAACTCGTGCGTTGACCAACGACATCATTAGTGCCCAAACGGCTATGTTTGCTTTTCCTTTCGCGACATTGTTTTTTATTTTGAACACTGTCGGTTGCTAGTACAGCGGTACCGTTGGGCTTACTCGCGGTACCGTTTTTAATTAAACGACACCGCTAACATAGCAAAAAAATACCAATTCATTGAACCGTGGAGAGTTTGCACTCGCATTGGGCTGGGCGGATTTTGGTCACTTACCCGATGTGGTTTTTAATTAATTGGTATCGCTTACCAAGACCTCTCGCGACATCGTTTTTAAATCCGCGGTACCGTTTTAATTCTCCGCGATGCCGCTTGTCTCCATGCGGTACCGCTTCTCCCCTTCCCACAAGGAAAAAATAATAATAATAATAATCAAAACTCCTTTTCCAACACCAATACCAAACGCGCGGCCCACCTCTTGCTTCCCGGTAAACGGTGTCGTTTCCAGTGCCGTGGTTCCGCTGAGCCTCCTTGCGGTACCGTTTTAACTCTCCGCGGTGCCGCTTGTCTCCATGCGGTACCGCTTCTCCCCTTCCCACAAGGAATAAATAATAATAATAATAATAATAATAATAATAATAATAATAACTCCTTTTCCAACACCAATACCGCGCGCGGCCCCCATCTTGTTTTCTTGTAAATAGTGTCGTTTCCAATGCCGCGGTGCCGCTGAGCTTACCTGCGATACCGTTTTTCTGTTTCGCGGTATCGTTTTAACTCTCAGCGACGCCGTTCGATTCTAAACGACACTGTTTTTTACCCGCGGTATCAAATTAAATGCCGAGACTAATTAATGCGACATTTAATTAAGGCCAAATTAATTTTGGGTGTCAACAAATTGTTGATAATGTCATTAAACAATGTTACACACATAAGAATAAATTGTTAATCATTGAATAAACCCTACCCCATGCAAATAAAAACCCAAAACCCATGCATTTCACGAAACCTAAACTACCAAACAAACCAACGAGACATATATCTTTTTATCGGTCGCCGGGAAAGATTACGGCAGAAGGAGATAGCTGCAGAGACTTGTTGTCCGGAGCGCCGACGTCGACCGAAGCAGCCGGAGTAGCAGGAGCGAGGAAGAGAAGGTCCTTGCACCAGCCAGGAGCAGAGATAGCTGGGGAGACTTGCTGTCGGGAGTGGCGACGGCCAGCAAAGCAGTCTGCTTAGCAGGAGCGGTGAAGAGGAGGTCCTTGCGGCCTGCCGGCGTCCAGCGAAGCAGCCGGCGTAGCAGGAGCGGCGAAGAGGATGTCCTTGCAGCAGCCGGGCGCGCCGACGTCGGACGGAGGGACTCACTGTTGTGATCGGGAAGGGTGGAACAAAAGACGGAATTTTCGGTGCGGGCGTAGAATTGGGTAAATTGGCCAAGACGTGGGTAACTCCTTATTAGGTTAATTATTATAATTTTAATACTAATTACAATCTCCTAAATACCCTTATTAACTAATTAACAAATAACTTCCTACAACTAACTAAAACCAAGCAACCAATAGAATTCATTTAAGTTTCTCCTTAAAGATTAGGCCTTAAGGACTAGAACTAAGGCCGGTTTAGTATATAAAATTATAAACAATAGTTTCGGCATTCGTCCCATATCAAAGTAAATAATAAAAGAAAGCGAAAATAAACTTCCACAGCCACAACTTTCAAAATACACAAAATAGTCAGAAATTTAAGACGCTAACTGGGATGCTAAATCACCGCACACATCATCCAAAAATCAGCATAAAGTGACACGTAAATAACACATCATACTTACTTAAAAATATTTAATCATAAATAAATAAACAAAAAATCAACTTTGCTGCTCTACGAGACCCTTCCACTTCCTTCAACTCGCTGCGACCCTTCCTCTACATCCCACCTCTGCCCACTCCCACCTTAGTAGCAGCAACAATTGGTTTGCAGGGAGCTTGTCGGAAGATGACGACAAAGCCGGTAAAAAATGGAAGAAGCAAAAATCATACCTGCATGCTGAGAATTGACGGCCATCAATAATGAATCAGAGAAGCAGCAGTATGCATCTTCTGACTGTGATCACCTCTCGGGCAGAGATAGCAAGAGAGAGCAAGGGTTCAATTGAATTTCTGTCGACGATGAGATTGATTAGGGAGTTTTTGTGGCTGGATTTTTCAGCTTGAGAGGAAAGAGCAGTCTGGATTTTTGTGGCTGTAAACCATAGTCGTCGTCACAAATCGCCTCTTCCTCCTCAACCCCCGACTCTAGGACTCCTCGTCGAGGGAGGAAGAAAAGTCCCATAATCGCCTCTTCATTTGCCGACACTAACAAGCTGTCAGCACTCGCATCCGCCGTTGTGGTGTCACCTTCGCATCCAGTGGCCACCAACAGATACAGAAAGTCATGTCGCCTCAATGTCGGGTTTCCATCGCCGTCCAGGCCATCGAATCTCACTTTCACATGCTATGTTCGTTGAGGATAGAGGGAGGGACATGGAGCAAGTGTTAAAGAAGAGAAAAAAAGAAAACAATGACGATGTTGAAGAAGTAAATTGTGGAAATTTTGGCTCCCGGTAAGTTTTGCTCTCCATTTCGATAACTCTTGATCAGGTGGACGATAGGAGGGATGAAGATGATGTTGATGGCGGCGGTAAAGTACCCAGAAGACCCATAAGGGTTTTCTTCTTCTTCGATTTAGGGTTGTGAGTTGGCTAATTGATGGGGAGTAGGGGCGACAATGGTGGTTAATTCATAGGTAATTGATGAAGTAATTGACAGGTAATTAATGAGGAGAATGGGGCGACAACAATAGTTGGGCATGAAAAATGGCAGGGAGTACGAGAAGGAGCAGAGGGCGAATATGATAGGTGAACAGGGCAGGGGTGGGCATCGGTTCGGTTCGGTCGAAACCGAACCGAAAATGAGCATAC